TCGCCGGACCGGCGGTCTGGTCCAGACCGGTTCAGACCGGCTGGACCGGTTCAGTCAGTTGTTTTCAGTTTCAGTCCCGGTTTTCAGTTTCAGTGTTATTTTCAGTTAAATTTCGGGTCAAGTTCAGTTCAGTTAATTATTATCAACTCAGTTTCATACTTAACCGGTTTCAGTTATACCGAATAAGTCCGAATGTCATGTCAGATTCGATAGAGCATCTTAACATAATTAAACAGTTAAATTATCAGTCTGAGCATAGTCAATAGTAATTGTTTATATTATTTTCAGTTTGATCAGGCATCAGCACTACCATTCAGTTTCAGTTTCAGCAAATTCAGGTGGGGACTCAGACTAAGTACTACATGGTTTATAATTACGTTACCATAGTCGAGGTATGTATATTTAGATCCGCTCGGAATGGTCGCCGGTCCATTCTGAGTTCTAGTGGCCTAATCTAACCGCTAGAGTGTGCACATGGTCCGGTATTAGTTTTTGCCGGGAGATTGCAGTTATCAGTTACGCGACTTCTGTCGCGAGATTCAGTTATCAGTTACGTGACTTATGTCACGAGATCAGACCGGTTTATCAGTTATCAGATATCAGTTTCAGATTCAATTAAGTTGTATATGCTTAGTTCATGATATTGTTATTATTCACGATGTTTTACATTAGTATGAGTTTCTGCGGAGCACAGTGCCTTAGTGCTCACGCCCCACACCTTTCATGTTTTTCAGGTCGCAGGGTCGGGGACGAGGAGTGAGCGGGCGGGCTGTTCAGGACATTTACGATTATTGTATATTATGTTGAACCACGCTATGTTTCCGCTAAAACTTTTCAGTACTTATTATCAGACTTGGCTCCGACATTAGTCGGATAAGGCATTATGACCATTTTTATGAATTAGTTTAAATTTTAACGGTTTTCAGAAAATCAAGTTTTTCACGGTAGCCCCCGAATCATTTTTCGCAAAATAAGTATTTTATTTATTTATTTAGAAAATTGTGAAAAAATCGCGTACTCTGATGTAATAGAAAGTCGGGGTGTTACATTTACACAAGGGACTGAACTATGGCTGCGGCGGGCGCACCGGGCGCCGCCGACGGCGTTGTGTCGTTCTTCGACCGAACATCGACTTATCTCGGCAATTCAAATATAACTGAACTTGAACATTACTTACTGAACATGATAACACATAACTAATCGGAGGGTTGAACTTAACATGCAATAGCACAAGAGCGGTCCGTGGTGCACACTAAGTGTGCGACCACACCTCTTCGACCAAAGCACCACCACATGGCTAATTATCCGAATATTTAAGCTAATTTAAACATGATATTGCAAATAAAAGCTAAACATGCAAGAATGGCTCGGAGAAAATAACTTATAACATGACATGGTCGGCACGGCTATTACTACCCATAACTCGCATGCACGCCTAACGGAAAAATCGAACTAAATAAACATGATAGGCTCGGTCAACAACCGTCGGGAACTTACCTCTGATTAAGCCCAAGTGACTAATCTTTTCGAACTCCCGTACTCGGCCGTGACCCTCCGCGTGCGTGCGTTGCCGTGTGATAGCGTGCGATGGCTTGCGGCTTGCGCGATGGCTCGCGAGGTACTCTCGGCCAAGGCTTACGAACAATACTCAAAATTCTCACAACTCTCACTCAACTCTCGGCGCAAAGAACTCATATGCCGAACTAAACATGTGGAGGGGGTGAAAAGAAAATTTCTACCAACACCATGCATATATGCTTATAAAACCGAAAGAAGAGGCTAAGGAGGAGACATATGGTCAATGCATAGGACACTTAACACTCATGCATAAAGGCTTAGGCCACTTGGCACCACATGCAACTCTTTCTTGGCCTTACTATGTCACGTGAATTTTTAAGACAAAGGGAAGAAATGTTGGTCAATTTCCCCTTACATTGCACGGCATTTAAGGGCTAAAAGGAAAGAATTTTTTGGAACAAAACACTAACAAAAGACAAAGGAGGTGCACGGTTTTACACAAGAATCTAGGACAAATTACTAACATAAAAAGAAGAAAGCTTGGACAATTGTCCACTTACATGCACACGGCCTTAAGCATGAAATGGGAAAAAAAATCTCCACTAACTAGCTACATAAAAACGCACGGCATTTAAGGCTAATGGTGATTAAATACATTTAACCACAAATTAAGGCTTAATCATTTAATTAAGCATAACACTTAATTATCAAAATTATATCAAACGTAAACGGTACGTCGTAAATATTTTCCGGTAATTTTGACTGAAATAACTGAAAATAATTAATTCCAAAAAACAATATCGGAACTAAAATATAATTTATACTGATAAATAGTCGGGATATTACACAAACCGTCGCAAGAGGAGGGATAAATCCCATTAGCTTAACATACTGCCAAACAATACTTAACTAATAGTCGGTCGAACTTTTGGCCAGCGCAATCAACTTATAAATAAATTTTATAAGAATAAAAACGACCTTTTCCTTTGGGAATATCGTAATTATTTGCACTTTAAGTGTAACCCATTAATTGGTACTAAGTTTACTACTAAAATTATACGTCCACCTTTGGGTGACCCGTACGCTTTTGAAATAGCTCACTATAACCATCCCGAAGGAGATTCGTCCTTGTGAACTGTGAAATAAAACATCCTTTGGGCTCGATTTAAATCACTTCACTGACAAACCTATAATGGAGGCCTTGGATGTTATTTATTTCAACCCATTACACACTTAATATAATTTTTAGTTTAAAAGGATTTTCTTAAACATGCTCCCAATAATTCAATTTGCACATAGAGCAATTAAATCACATAAGGACATGCATGATTAATAGGCAATAATAGGAACGTAAGATCCAACTATCATGGCCATTTTAATCAATCTTTAATCTTTCGGGAAACGCAGTCTAGTCCTTGTTGAACTTGGTCTTCCGATTCAGGACTTGGAATTTCCTTTTTCGCCGTGACTCCCACTTTTCGTCTTGAACAAGTCATCATCGGGAAAGTCGCCAACGAGTCTCCTCTGTTGGCGTGTGCCTACCGCCGCCGTCGCCCGTACTTCTGTTGACCTGGGTCTGTGCGTATCCGTCTACAAACACCTTAACATTGCTCGTATCTGACAGCAAGCTGCCTACGAGTATGTCTGCATTTGCACAGTACCACGTATCCCATCAACTACGGGTTCGCGGGGTAGCCTGCCTCGTCTCATCGAGAGATGTCCGCGCTTACCGGGTCAAACGAACAATTACATAATATCAATTACATACATTGATCCTATGGTCCACGCAGGTGTCGTACATGAATGATCTAGTAAAGCATTTAAACTATGCGGTGTCCCACCGCGCGAATAAATTATTACAAGCATTCACCAACCCAAAAATCCTCGACATGTCCGAGGCTTTAAAACGACATACATGAATTAAAAAACAAACATACATGCGGGCCATAATAGTGAGATTCAAGAATACCTGCAAACACACTTATTTGCAATTCTAATCTATTATGCGCTGCGTCTGTACACAATTAATTCACATATATCACGCAAGTCCTAATTCGAATAGTGCACAAAGTCGAATTAACCTGGGCTGTGATACCAGTTGTTGGGTTCTATTAGAAACGTCGACAATGTACACATTCAAATCTATTGAATAATAAATCCTAGCGCAGCGGAATCTATAGGTAAGATTAGGACTTACGGTTTAAAAATTTTTGCCGACTCTGAGATGTTTCTGATTTCCGTTGATGGAGATCGTATGAACACCAAAGTCTAATGGGTGGCTAGACTTGGTCTTTCTCGATTCTAATCGAGTCACCGTGGTGCTCCAATCGCTCATCTAGCTCATCGGATCATCTCGGACCTTCGGTTAGTGAATCGGACTCCTCGGACCGCTCGGGAACCATCTTGGACTCGAACCGGGGCTTCTAGACCGATTTGAACCGCCCCTGGACCGCCTAGTAGTCTCTGAACTCGAGCTGGACCGGTCAGGGCTTCGCTGGACCGTTCTGAAGCTTTCTGGACCGCCTGGTAGCTGCTGGACTCGAGCTAGGCTGCTAGACCGCGCGCTGGGCCGCTTGGATATCCGCTGGAATGGATTGGGCCGCACACAACTCAATTTGGGCCGCGCTGGAGTGAGCTAAGAAGCTCGGCCAGCACGCGGACGGACATCTGGGCCAAGAGAAAACGCGCGTTGTTGGGCCGTGAGGAGTGCTGGGAGGCTGGGCAAACACGCGGGCTTGGAGAGGGCTTCTCGCGGGCTGCATCTGTGAGGGAGCGCGGGCTGTACGCGGGCTGAAATCGGGCCGTGCGGCCCGCACTATTTCCTTCTACTGGGAACAAAAAAATTCTCCTATTTATGCAAGGAGTAAGAATCGATCCCGCGACCTCGTTGGAGAAAACAGCGCCGCAAGCCATCGCGCTACACGCAGTGTTGCGTCAATATAACGCAGACTATATTGATTAATAACCTGACCGCGAAAACTGGAAATATATCGAACAGAATACGAATCAACAACCTTCGAATCTTCTATTGTATGACCTTTACACGATCTCTAATAAATCTTGGTGGAGCGCTTTATTAGATTTCCCAAAGCCTCTTGATCATCTTCTTCTAAGA